AGAGCGTCCTCTACCCGAAAATGAATTTCAGAGACAGGTGTGGCTTCTCTTCGAATACCCAGAGAGCTCAGGGCCTGCCAGGATTATAGCTATTGTATCTGTCATGGTGATCTTGATCTCAATCGTCAGCTTCTGCCTGGAGACGTTGCCCATATTCCGGGATGAGAATGAAGACATGCATGGCAGTGGAGTGACCTTCCATACCTACTCCAACAGCACCATCGGGTACCAGCAGTCCACTTCCTTCACCGACCCTTTCTTCATTGTAGAGACCCTCTGCATCATCTGGTTCTCCTTTGAGTTCTTGGTGAGGTTCTTTGCCTGTCCCAGCAAAGCCGGCTTCTTCACCAACATCATGAACATCATTGACATTGTAGCCATCATCCCCTACTTCATCACCCTGGGAACAGAGCTGGCTGAGAAGCCAGAAGATGCTCAGCAGGGCCAGCAGGCCATGTCACTGGCCATCCTTCGAGTCATCCGGTTGGTAAGAGTCTTTAGGATTTTCAAGTTGTCCAGACACTCCAAAGGTCTTCAGATTCTAGGTCAGACCCTCAAAGCCAGCATGAGAGAATTAGGCCTACTGATATTCTTTCTCTTCATCGGGGTCATCCTTTTCTCTAGTGCTGTTTATTTCGCAGAGGCCGATGAGCGAGAGTCCCAATTCCCGAGCATCCCGGATGCCTTCTGGTGGGCAGTCGTCTCCATGACAACTGTAGGCTATGGAGACATGGTTCCAACTACTATTGGGGGAAAGATCGTGGGTTCCCTATGTGCAATTGCAGGTGTGTTAACCATTGCCTTACCCGTCCCCGTCATAGTGTCCAATTTCAACTATTTCTACCACCGGGAGACAGAGGGAGAGGAACAGGCCCAGTACTTGCAAGTGACGAGCTGTCCAAAGATCCCGTCCTCCCCTGACCTAAAGAAAAGTCGAAGTGCCTCTACCATTAGTAAGTCTGACTACATGGAGATCCAGGAGGGGGTAAACAACAGTAACGAGGACTTTAGAGAGGAAAACTTGAAAACAGCCAACTGCACTTTGGCTAATACAAACTATGTGAATATTACCAAAATGTTAACTGATGTCTGATTGAACCCTATTCACATACTCACAGCTCAATGGAACTAATGCAGATATTGCATAATAGCCTGCATTGTAGTCAGTGTGTTCTACAGTGTGTATCTGGTTCTGCATGGAAAGCAATAGTCGTGCAAGTGACTTTTGATCTTTTGATTTTTGATTTAGAACACAGAATATGTATCCGTGGCTTTCATGCAAATCTCCATCACCGGCTTAGGGGTTTCCAAAGATGGGAGTCACCTATGGAAGCCAGGATTTCAGAAGGACACATTGAGGCCACCTCATAGCAAATACAGAACCTACCACATCAGTGTCACCTTCTCTTCCTAATGAAATGCACACGGCATCTCGGAGGTGCAATTCGCCCCACCACCCCACTTGAGCCTACCTCCCCCTTCACAGAGGAAAACCACGGTAGCTTAGCTTTAAAGTTCTGGTAATTATTCGAAAGGTCTTTCCCATTTTTGCATTGAAAAGAACACACAGTGCTGTGTGTTGGAATTACTTTCTGTGTCACAGGCTGGGGGTTTGTGAAATGCAGTTGCCAAGCAGACGCTCCGGAGGCTTGTGTTTCATAACGGAAAATACTGCATTTGGTTTTTTCTCTGCAGTGTCTATGTGAGGGAAGCCCAGGGGAGGGACAGTTAGGATGACCGAATGTGGGTTGTCAAGTTTCACATTTGCTCCCTTAGCCCTACCGGGAGAAGCTAACAAACCAAGGGACCTCTCGGCTTCAGATTTCACCATTTTTGCAGGCTTCGGGGTCACAAAAACATGTCTGATTTCTTTGTTACACTGGAGGTTGCAGGCATCTGCTTTCCTAGTGCTGGGGCCCAGCTACACTGACACTGCAGTGAAATTTACCAGTGATGCGATAGAGCTGCATGGGTGTTTGTTGCATGAATCTCAATATTTAAAACACAGGAGATAACCTATTTTCTTAGTAGCCTACACAGTATTCATATTTAGAGTATTAATAGCCTAGGAATGGCATTGAACGAGGGTTGTCTTTTTTTCCCATCAGAATACAAAAGCCCTCAATCAGGAGAAAAACAATAGACTGTTTGGAGTGGGGAACCAAAACTTGTGGCCCTCCAGCCCACCCCATCCCTGTTCTTCCAAATGGGGGCACACAGCTCTGCAAAGCCAGGAGAGTGAGCAGGGAAAGCAGTGTCTAAACACCTCACGTGACTGCACCTTAGGAATTAACCTAGTCATGGGCATGACTGTATAGCTGACTGGGGCATCTCGTCCTGAGGAAATGCGGATCTGTGGATCCAGTGTATATAAATATGTATCAAGAATCTCTTTCACGAATTCCTCTACCTAGCTAGCTATAGAAAAAATTGCATTTGAACCTTGTATAAGCTTATGCAATATTTTTGACACAGGGCAATATATGCATGTGTTTGACTATGTGCACTAGAGTGTGTGTGTGTGTGTGTATATATATATATATATATATATATATATACACACACACACACATATATATATATTTGTATATACATATATATACATACATACGTGTGTATGTGTATATATGCACACATACATATATAGTCATTCTCTGGAGTTCAGGTTCAGGAGCAAATCCACTGCTTGGTGGGTTGGTTGTCTCAGAGGCCTAATGGGTTAATTTGTCTCATTGGTCATCCCACTGGGCCTAGGTTTGCTGCCATTGCCTCAGACACTCCAGTCTTCATGGATTCTTAGATGTTCGAATTGTCTTTCTGCCCTCCATGTGCTGCAGCTTCAGTTTCTCATGGCTGAAGCTTGTCTTACTGAGTGCACAAGGGCCCTAGGGCCCTCACAGCTCCAGCTGTCCTGGGCCAGACCCAACCCAGGCCTCCTCTCTACAGCCCATCATCTTCATCATCTCCATTCTCGTCTTTCCTCACCCTGTCCGGTTTTTATTTAAGACGTAGAATGTATTTACCAATATAGAACATACACAAGAGACCTACATATACCATGAACGAAGACACAACCTGCAACTCTGATGCAAAATACACAAAAACAACATGGTCATTTGCCTCTGCATCAGTCACTTTCATGAATCCTTCCCCAAGGAGCCAGAATGGATCACCTGCTTTGAAACCAAGGACACTAAGGAGGAGGGCTCCTGGGCACCCAGTTCCACAGGTCTGGGCTGAAAGGAAACCTCCTCTATGTGGAAATTTCTGAAGTTCAGGACCAAGGGATGGAATCCCTAGTTGATCCACAGGCATCATGTTCTCTCAAGCTCTCTCCGCATTAAACTGGCAACCAGGGCTGCTTAAGAAACCAAAGGCTGGGTACAGAATCATTCCCCACCGCCAGAACAGGCTGAGAGTGAAGGAGCACTGCATAGCCTAAAGGTAGAGTTCAGCTGGCCCTGGAATAGATGGAGGTGGGGAAGCTTTTGCCTCACAAACTGGGCTTCTTTGCCTTTCAACATAATAGCTTAAATTTCCCAAACACAGCGAGTTGTGTGCTCAGGATGCCCAGCCATGACTCCAGCCCCGGCCTCACTGTTGGCTCTTCAGCACCTGCAGTTACCCTGGGGGGGTGGGGCACCAGCCCAGGGTGCTCACTAGTTCCTGGTCACCCACATCCCCAGGGGTCTGCAGGGCATCCCAGGCCCAGCGCAAAGCCTCTGTGCTTCTCTTCCTCTCCTACATGGGAGGTGGTGCTGCATTTCCAAGACATAGGGTAGAGGGACGCAGACCTTGGGAAAATAGATGGTAAAACAACCCATACCTAAGGCCAAGGTTGTGGGGTAGATATTTTATCCCAGTGTCCTTGACCTGGGACTATAAAGTGTTCACCCACACCGGCACACAGACATGCACACCCATCACAAAAGAGATCTACATTGTTGCCATACACAAATACAAAACACGCACCACACATGCAAAATACACAGAGACCAAATTAATGAAAAGGGCACTCAGAAGATATACGGTTGTACCTATATCCAAAATACACACACTCAGCACAGACATGGAATGTACTTACCAATACAGAACATATACAAATACCTACATACACCACGTACAAACCTGCAACTCAGATGCAAAACACACAAAAACTACATGGACACGTGGGTATACATACAGAACACACAAAAGATACTTTACTATTATTTCTGCACACAAAATACAAACTCAGTTTATACACACAATGCATTTACGCACACAAAATACAGCACACACACCCAAGAACACACACACACACCACACATGAAATGTGTACATATACTCAGATCCATTGTTCTGCCCCCATAGCTATAAATTAATAGGCATAAACAAAAGATCAGATTTAATCATCTTTCCCTACCCTGCGTCTCTCCCCCTCAATATCCTTCAGGAAATCTCTTCCTCTAGTCTTTTCCCCTGCCTCACTCCTAGATTTCAGCCCTAACCTGCGTCTCTCCCCCTCAATATCCTTCAGGAAATCTCTTCCTCTAGTCTTTTCCCCTGCCTCACTCCTAGATTTCAGAAAAATAACCCCAAGGTTTAAAGCAAAATATGGACGACCATTGTCAAGCAGATCTCTGATTAAGACTGGGAATCTCATAGGGTTTCTACCTGTTCACCTTCCTCCCACCAGAAACCCTGGTGCCAAGCATGGAAGGACCTGGGACAGCTGACGGTCCATTAATATACACCTGGCCCCGTCCTTTCTTTCAAAGCAAGTCCACACAGACAACCCAATAGCCCAGTCTCCCCTGCTCCCAACCCCTGGGATCTCTGGATTCAACCCTGTCCTCTTGAAAGCAGTGGTGGCTCAAGAAACTGCAGGGTCGTAGACCCAGAACAAGAGTGAGGATGCTCCCAACATTCCCTCAGCCCACAGACCTTATCACCCCTCCATCCCCAGTGGCTTTGTCAGGGGGCTCAGTCAGAAAGTCAAGGCCGTATGTAGACCTGTCTCTTAAAATGAGTCACCTTTACTTGCTTGTGGCATCTCACTTGCTCTTGGGCATAAGCCCAATGGAGTCAACTCCTGAGTCCCCTCTATGGGTGTGCAATGCCAGGCAGGCTTCTCCCCCTGCCCCGGCTCCACCTGCCTTGCCTCCCATCCAATGGCTGTACCTTGAGGAAACACACACCAATTCAGCTTAAGTAAAACCTGATTAAGGACTTAAACCTAATGTTACACAAGCAAACAGCATCTTTTTTTCAGAAGGCCTGATATGTATCCTATATTCTAAGGCCAGATTGAAATGCTTTGTAAGATTACACACAGAGCTGGCTCTTCCCACTAGTAGGACTAGCTGAGAGCTGGGTGCGTTTTAGCAAAGGCTTCACCTCAGATGGAAGTTGGGGGGTTGAAGTCAGGCATCAGATCAGGTGTCTACTCCTGTGGCCAGCCAGGATGTGCCCCACACTTCCCTCCTAAAGATGGTCAAGCTCCCAGTCTCCATGGAGGATGCAACAGCCACAGGGAATGAGCATGTGGGTCCAAATCTGCACATTCAGCGCAACATGCTGGGCCTTTCAAGTGTTTTCAAGTCAGGATACCAATTTTCCCTTTAGCTTCAGCAGGTTGCTAAACTTTCAAGGAAGTTGGAGTTCTCAGGAGTCTACAGAGAAGGAAGTCCAGGAGAGGTGGAGAGGTTGTCAGGAAGAAAGAGTACTTGAGCTAGTCATATTTCAGAATTAACTTTTCAGGAGCTGAAATGTACCTTAGGTCATAGTGAAGGCACTGTGCTTCCTGAAGCTTCTGTGGTGTTTGACACACTCTTCCTTCCTCTCTGCTTCCCTCTGCTGCTCTCAGCTGGGCCTCCGAGGATGGAGTAGGCATGAAACCAGGAGGTTAGCCCTGAAAGGGGGCCCCAAGTGAGTGTGCCTCCAGACTCCATTGGTCTGGTGTGGAAAGGGCTCCCAGGAAAGCTTTGTTGGCCTGAGCCTCCAGCCTGGGGGCTCATGTGGCCACCCCGTGTGGAGAGGGCTGCAGGATTAGCTTGTCCTGTCTGCTCTCCCTGGATCTCTCACTCCATTGTAGTGAGGTCTTCGGCCAAC